TTGCCAATTTGTGTCAAAACGTGTCAAAATGGACTAAAATAGTTTTTTAAAAAAATGCTTCTTGAAATATAAATCGCATAACTTCAAAACCGCATAAAAAGAGTACGTATAAAAAGAAGACCTAGTGTATATAAGTGCTTATAATATAGGAAAAACTGTAGGAAATATGAGTAGCCAAAATAATATTAATAATTATTTAATTATAATTAACTGTAATTTTATTAGAATTGTAGAATTTATTTTAAATCTTAAAATAATATTTATAACAGCATAATAGTAATCGTAATTAAAAAAAAAAAGATCAACTGCTGTTGACCATAGATCTTTCCACCCGTATCCTAATAATCATAAATAAATTAAAAACATACTGTTTGTTTGAACTTTAGATACCAATATTTATCAATGAATTGTCCTTTTTTCTCAACAACTCCAATTTCTACAGAGAACCTAAAATTTCAGTATTTCATATTAATTCCAACCAAAAATTGCAACAATTATAATTTATACAATTTCCTTATGGTTTTTTTTTTAAATTTATTTCATTCATTTTTTATTTCTTTGCGTATAACTGCTACAATGAATTATTGTTTCGTTCAATTTATATTTAAAATATATTTATAAAGCTTAATCTAAAAATTATTTTGTTTAATTATAATTATTGTAAAGAAAATGTTAAGTTTTGTTTCTTGTTGCAATACCAACATAGCATTCTTATGGTATGGTTTTAATTTGTATTCACTTAAGTTTCAAGCTATAATCAATATTCTGTGGCGTCTAACATATTTGCAAACTTGAGCCTAACGGAATAAATAACTTTGAATTCTACGGAAATTCATGTGTTACAAAAAAAATGTTGCAAAATTGTTTTATACAATTTTAATTTTTGACAAACTGAAATAAACAATCCGAAAAAAATAATTTGATGAACGTATGATATTGGTACGAATAAAATATATATATTTTTGGTTTATACTCCAAAAAACGCGCAAATAATTGCTCAGCCAGCGGGATGGAAACATTGATTTGGAAAATGGGGGACTGAACGAAAACAAACCAAAAAAGAAAGGGTCGAAAAATATGAGCCGACAGAGGGGCCTTATTGAAAAGAGTATTAAATTTTCATACTAATTCCCATTCAATTTCGCTTCACATGGCCTCCTTTACGCTTGCGTCAGCGACGTACATGGCGAATATAATGGGGGGATTAAAACACGCACACCCCCTAATCGATTATTCGCATCTTGAATATACCCAGCACACTTGCGTGTACACTTTATGACCTTAGGCCACCCCTGTTCTCAAAGGATCTTTATGGCTGATAAAATAATTGTGCGCTTTAAATAAAAATGATAACGAAGTAAACTGTAAATAGGGGTTACCTGAACACGAGGGAAGGGAAATGTTAGGGTTCGAAAAACAAGAACCCCGCATGTCATGTAGCTGATTATAAAGAAATTAATTTTAGCACGTGTAGCTTATGTACCTGACGTATATAATTAAAACGTATGGTAATTGGGATTAATGTAATTATTTGTTTTCGAATATATTGAGGAAACCGAGCTTGAGGCGCTCTCTGGCCGAGCGCTCTGCAACTAAGCAGGCCCACCAAAAAAAAAACAGATCACTGCTGGATTCTTATTGCAACCCTAGATACACCTATCACAGGATTTATATGGATTTTAGTTACAATAAAACTAAGTTAATAAAGTAATGAAAAGCAGGCTCACCTTGCATATCCTGTCCATCCAATGGGGGTCCCATGGTGCACAGTATCTGCTTCCGTTCACAGAATCCCTCAAATTATTTACATCGGATCGACCAGTATAAACAGTCCCTTATCAGCTAAATAACTTATTACTAAATGATACATGATTTTGACAGATTACAACCTACAGCATACAAGTGAAATGTTGTTATTGCACTTGGGAGCACATAATGTTGAGAACACACATCGTACATGTTGAGAACAGATTTGGTAAATAGAGGCTAGTCGAGGCAGTGTCATAGTAAATGGAATGCATGAATGAATTGGACATTAATGCCACAGGCAGTGGAAAAGAAAAAAAATCAACAAAATAATGAGCAAAAATAATAATAAATATATTAGCAATATTTTGACAACCTTAAAAACGAATATTCTGTGTGTTGCGGTGACAATGGTTCCACCGGCCACTCGATAAAAATATGAAATAGACTCACATAATCTGCAGCCAATACAAATAGAACGAATTACGAATTTACTATCCGAGTTATCATTTAAAATATTTTAAATACACAGAAACTAATGATACCCGACAAACGCCATGTTTACGACGGCTGTGCGGCGCGCATGCGTCGCGACATTTACGCCGGAACAATACGCCGGGATTTTCAAACGCTGACCTGATAACGTGCATGTTATATTAATTATTAACGTCCGACGACTAATTAACTTTCGAATTAACATTAGGAACGCGGCTCAGTTTCGTGTCCATCATCGCACCTCCTCGATCCATTTTTCCTTTTCCATCTACCTTCTACCAACATTTGCCCTCCTTTGTTGTTTCGTTGTTGTTGCACGCTGAAAAACAATTTATATTTAAATCCATTCTATTTTCGTAAACACTTGCAGTCCAAGGCATCTATCACAATAGCATATTCTGGCAGCTAGATTCACCGTTTTGGCAGTCTGATCTCAGCCTGCGGTTCTCTAAATTAATTACATTATCATTTCGACCTGCATTTGAAACTTCGTTTCAAAAATATTTGCGTTCATGTTTGACTCACGTCGCTTTTGTTGTATTTGATTATTAATTTGTAACTTTATTGTCTTATTGGGTCTGGTTTTGTTTATTGGCTCGGATATAGTTTATGCTTTGTGCACCAACGGAAAACCAATGACAATATTTTTTTAATGGAAATTTGGATGCAATAAAATGCTATTTTAATAATATCTACAAATATTTACGTACAGTGATTAATAGGTAATGAATTTTACCAAAAAAAAACACAAATTGTACACGTTTATATTTTCAGTAAATCCTACTTCTATAGCTTCATCCAGTGTGAGTGGATTACAACTATTGATCTTTCTTTCAAGTTCAACCAAATTGGCACTGGATGGCAAAAATGGATGACCTACATTAAGAATTCCAAAGATTACTTATTTTCTTTCAGTTTTGCATTTCATCGTTAAAATCAATAACGATGCAGATTCTATTTTAAGATTCTAATGTAATCGTCAGATTTATTTGCAACTTTTAACTACGATATTGTTCACTTCTTATTAGCAATATAAGCACACCTTGATATCATTATATCAGTCTTGATCACATTTCTATTAAATTAAGACATTTTTAGTTTTATTTTTCATATTTTATTTTGTTAAGCTTGTATTATGATTGTTACAATAAATATTATTACTTTTTTAAGACAATTTCATCTATGTTTTTGTAGGTAGAATTATTGTTACTGCCATATATTAATGGAGAAGGCCACATGATTTAGATTAAACATCTAATTTCAGGATTATGACTTCATCAAAATCGTGTTGAGATTAAATCGTTTATTGCTATGATGGATTTCAATTAGTTGATTCCACTAGATATATATTCTCTAAAAGCAGTTTTTTTAACATAATATTTAAAGTCAATAACCGTTTGTATGTTATTATACATTTTTTTTTGTTTATTACTATTGCTATTTTATAAAAACAAAAAATTAAGGAAAAGGTGTAAATATTTTCTAATTCATGTTCAAAGGTTTCTTACTAGATGAAACCATAAAAAAATATATTAAAATACATATATACTCGTTTTTAGTTACACTAAATATTTTATTTACAAGTAAATAAATTCCATTTAAAACAAATGAACAATAATCATAATAATTGCAAATATAGAACATAATTAAGAAAATTGTTAAAAAATAGTTATGAAATTGAAACAAAAATAATTCATATATAAAATGAAAGTTCATATTGTTTAACAACAACTTTAGTATTGAACAGAAAAACCGATCTACAATTGTTATTATATATTATTGTAAAAAATATAGAATTTTCTTAAATTATTGATAATATTCTAAGTATTTGCGCATATTACAAGTGCAATCTAAACTATACTAAATTCTATCATTAACATGATTACATGACTATAGTAATAGAAGAAATTGTAACACATTGAAAAATGCTAAACAATCTTTTACAAACTAGTTGATTCTTGTTATTTAAGAATGTACACCATGTATTTACATTTATACTTAGATTGTAACAAATAAGTACATGACAAGTGTTCTGAGGTGATTTAAAAATTCTATATAAAATTAAAACTTATAATTAATATTGAATAAAAAAATTCTCTTAACAATTTTTAATTAAGTGTACTTAATTATTGAAAATTGTCTTAAAATGCACAGTTTATATTACACACTATATAAGTATGTACCCACTATAATAAATATATTATTTTATAATATATAGCTAATTAATAAAATATGAAATCCTTTTTTTGTATTTATTCTAAAGCTTATTGAAGTTGAAAGATTATTCAATATAATATGTAAACATTATTGAATTGTCGACGAATTATGAATGAAAATAACTATTATCTATAAACATCTAGTTCTAGGAATACAATTAGGCCAGGTGAAAGTACCACGTATTAAGGTAACGACGTACTTCAACGCTTGGTGTTTATTGTATTCATGACTGAAAACTACATAAACATTACAATTTAATTTGATAGTGCCAATAAATTAATAGTAAATTTTAACTTTCAATTCATATATTCGCATAATATTGAGGGAACGCCATGAAAGACGAGGTAACAACAAATATTTTTAGGTTAAGTCAGTTGTGTTGTGACTCAGTACAATTTGATGTATGAAATTATTTTTATTGTAACTTAAATTATTGTATTCAATTGATTAATATATTGTGTAATTATAATTATTTTTGTACACAGCAATTATTCCAAATACTGCAGAATAAATTAAACATTTCTTTTTGTTACAGAACATAACTAAAGCTGAAGAATCAATCACTATTTGTTACAATAGAGTATATGCATTGAAAGCTAAACTGCGTTCTGGCACATTGAAAACCCAGCACAAAGATCAGCTACAGCAGGAGCTGATCGAAGTGGAGAAACTTCTAGCTACAAATAAAAGAATTTTGAAAAACCTAAATAAAAGTGAAAAACCATTATACTTGATAGCCTGTGGTTTCTTCCTAATATGTTTTGTTTGCTGGATGTTATACCACCTGTTTTTTGGTGATACCTTTGACATTGTATAAGAAATAAAGTAGATGCTTATTGTACCCAAAAACTTATTATTTTATTCTTTGCTTATAACTAAATTACTTAAATTAAGTTCCGTCTTGGGCTATTCGTCAACGACGTGCCCGACCTCTTCCTCTACCGCGTGGGCCACCACGACCTCCTCTACCTCTACCACGGCCCCTGGCTGCACCACGAGCAGATTCCTTCTTCTTTGCCTTGGCCTTAGGCGTGTCATCAATCAGCAGAGTTTCCAATGGTAAACTGTCAGGTAAGATATAATACCTAATATTATTTCCTCTTACTGTTAAAGTATCCAAGTTTATTGGGTTACGATTCTTCACAGTCATTTTCACAGCTTTCAAATGAGTGTTCATGGCTACATCAACACCTGTTATTGTTCCATGAACTTGTGTTCCATTCTTCAGCTCCATAGTCACAGTCTCATGACTGAGTTTCATTAAAAATCTAAAACACAAATATAGTATCGTTAAAAGAACGTTGTAAATAACTTTTTGAGGTTATGTTTATCAATGATTTTTGTAAATGGACGTTTTGCGTTAATTATCTTCGTCTTTTTATGAATAATATTGAAATGCACAAGTACTTACCTAACTAGCTTCATTTTGTCCTGATATTAAGTAATTTTAATATAGAAATTGCCGGTTAAAACCCGTATAAGAACGCGTTTAGCGTTTTGTTTGTACCCCTACCGGTAGTTTTGCGAACTAAAATTAGCGTTAGGGTGATGCCTTCAGAACTAATTTTTAATTAAAAAAAAATATATTTCTTTCATCCAAATAATAAATTTTATTTTAACAATAAACCATGGTCGTCAGTATCACGAAAATCTGATACGAAAGGTCGTTGGTTCAATTCCAAAAAATCAACAAAAATTTGTGGTGGCTGTTAAACCCGAAAGGGGTAGAAATAGGGCCGGAGAGATTTATATCAATAATATATTTATTTAGAATTATATCTTTCTTAAAAAAAACAATAAACCTTATTTGCATCTATTATATCTAGAAAGTTTAATAAATTTTGTACAATTTTCTAATATAAAATAGTATAAAAAACTTGAATCTTAGCAGGCTATGCATAATTGTCAAGATTTAAGAACTTAGATATAAAGCTGTTTCTGTAATTGATAATAAATATTTAATATTATAAAAAAATAGTATAAAAGTGTATGATTTGAACTCGGAAAAAACCTAGTTTATAAATGTTAAAACGTTGATTGTATTTGCTGTATTTGAATAGTCACGAAGCGCCAAGTGAATGAACAACGTAAAATCAAGCTAGAAAAAGTCAATAAATAAAAATATGTAGTTTGCTTTTTATTACTTTTACTGTGCATTTTACTCTAGAATATAAAATATTATTAAAAATATTTACCTCGCATAGTGCGGGTAATCGGTTCCGTCGGACTAATTTTCGATAAATCATCTATTAGTTTTGAGAAATAATGTGTCTTAAAAGATACAATAGCAAAGTGTTAATTATAGGTTTAATTAAAAATAGTGTATATAAAAAACACGTTCATTCTACAAGATATTATTTTTGTTAGATTTTCGGCTAATTTTAGTAAATTAGAGAACTTTTAATAAATTGTAATTTGATATAAAAGAAACTAATTGAAAATAATGGGGTTGTGACATATATATTCTAAATACAATAAAACGAATAGAATTCATATAAAATAAGTATATTTTTTACAATGACAAACACATACTAAGTTATGTAATATTGCCTATTGACGTTATGAAAAACAAAACAAAATAATGAGAAAAAAAATATTAAAAAATCAGGAACAGTTCTGTCGTCCTTGTTCCCATGAAATGTCCTTAACTTACAAAAACGGAACTAAAATTATGTAAATTAAAATCGATGATTCTTATTATAAAATATGTACATCAAAGAAAGGAAAACATATGCAAATAAATAACTATTTAATCTTATACGTGTTATGCATTATGTTAAAGTTATGATTTGTCTGTTTTGTACATGATAAATGTATTTCTAATATAGAAATGACGAATTCTTCGGGAGATCTTAGTAATCATTGTTTTAGAAAATCTGAAAATAAAATATTATTATTAAATTATTCATAATTATAAAATATATATTCTTATAAAATAAAACTGTTAATACTTGACGTTACATAATAAAATATGAAATATCCGGAAAATCCTTTACTTCAAGATTTTTTAAATAATTTTTATTTTATTAATTTATTGAATAACCTCAGTTGATATATTTATAATTTTGTTTTAGGTTCAGAAATAGTAAACAGTACAAGTTGAATATTTGTATAAAACTCTAAATTATTTTTCATGAATGAATGAATTAATAATGACATTCATTACTAATAGTGTGTTTATGACATTTTCCTGACAACTCAAGTAAAATAGTTGGAATTGAATATTGTTGTTTTTCTGCTTATAAGCTTACCATAAATGACACCATCATGTTACACAACACTCATTCTTTGTACTCTCCACTACATGTAGATAAACTGAAATCTGAAAGAAGAATAGTTAAAAAAAGGTGTTGCATTAAGATAGATGATTAGAATTTACCTGCACAGCGCTTGTGGAAGTGACGAAATTATCGGTCCGTATCCTTGTGAATTATCATACAACTCAAACAGAGGTGCCGCAACTAGCTTGTAATTTTTTGGTACTGCGAAAGGAGCTGCAAACAATAAATATAAATTAGAATTCGCCTAAAAATACGTTGCAAGAAAATAGAGTCGTACGTGTAATAATCATTGAAAACACAAATACATTATTAATATTATACAAAATATGTTTCCGTCTCTTTTTTTTTCTCTCGTTTTGTACAAATCACAATACAATGTTGTACAATTAATTAATTAAAAACTCAATTAAAAAATAACAAGCATTAGGAGGGATAAATTAAATTATTAAAAAAAAATAAATAAAAATAAAGATCATTGAAAAAAAATAAAAAATAGTGTAGAGGTAGACTTGGCAATCCTGAAGAAACCTAGGGGTGATGAGAAACTAGTTTTCAATAACGTAGATATTTCGCTATGAACGTAAATTAAAATCTAGTGAAAACGAATAAATTAAAACGACAAACAAATTTTGAAGTGAATACAAATTACAGAAATGAAAATCTTTTTCGTCATAACCCGGTCTAATACAATTTGAAATGGGATGTGTTAAGTGCTTTCTAACTTAATTCATATGATATAATAATTTGGTTGATAAATTGCAAAGTCCATCACTAGAAATTAGGAACTAACATTAAATGTTTCACATCAAATACAGTCAATCGCTAAAATGAGTTCATAAATATACCTACAATGAATATTTATAAAACCCATAGGCTACAGTTAGTCATTCATTCAATCGTACGTCCATCGTATTTTAAGAAATATATTAATCCTGTATACTCTAATCAAGTTTACAGTGTTATCCCAAGATGTTTTATGGAATACAATAATATATACTTTTTTTTGTCTTTATATTTCTAACATTTTATGGATAGGCAAGGACTATAGAGACAGAAGAATTTGTTCAATGAATGTTGTAGCTTGTCTCTATTTTCCTTTTCACAAACCAGCAAGTAGAACAATGACAGACAATTATTAAATAATATGAAAAGAAAAACTTAATTAACTCTATAAACGAAATAAAATTGTCTATCGTTAATGCCAGTTTGACAAAGATTAATAATCTTATGAGGTTAGCAACTATTCAATACCTGCTAAGTTCATATGATTATCTTAAAATTAAAGGTTTATAGTAAATACATAAATAAATTACATTCTTCTTTGTGTGATACTTATGGAAATTATAATTGTTATGTAACCTTTTTCCTGTAGTTGCACTAAGAACAATCTCTTGTGTTCCTTAGGTTTAGTTATATGTGTTGGTATGTATGGATATTGCGGTGGCTCAAAGTTGGGTCTCCACCAATTGCCGATGATGTCCTCGATTAACCACTCCTGCTTAACTCCGTCCTGTCTGCCCAACGTCTGTAACAACAGCTTACTCATTTTGACAACTGCATGGAAGACGATGTCCTCTTGGTACATAGATTGTAAATATATACTCAACAGAAAAAACAAATCTTTTATTGTAATTGAAATGTTACATTTAAAAAAAAAGGAGAATAAAAACAATAAACAATCTGAGAGCGACAACAATGCTTCATTAACTTCAAAAGAATAACATGTTACTGGTACAACCAATAAATTAATTCATATATAAATTAAAGAAAAAAAAATACCAAAACATGTTACCATTTTAAAAGTTAACCATTATTGTAATACATGTTTTGAATTTCGAATTGATACAAAGAAAATTTATGCAATAATAATTTTCTGGATTGAATCATATGGATTAATGATTACAGGATAAAAATAAAAATACAACAATGTTTGGTTATTAACCTAGTAAGAAATAGATTCTCAAATATGTGAAGCTTTCATAAAGTAAGAAAAGGAAAATTTTGTTTACGAAGAAAAACTTCACATTGTTAAAAAATAAAATAAATATATGCTGTTATACATTTAAAACAAAAATTAAATTACTGAAAAGTGTATTTACAAATTGATACACATTGCATATTCGTTCCAACGTTTCTTTTCTGCATTTTAGACATCAGGTTTGTTTCACCAGAACAAAATTCCTTATACATAGAATATATACATAGTTTCATTCTATAATGTCATATAACAATGTTATCATAACAAATACTTCCAATTTGCTTATGTTCCTTTCAAACTCCACACTTCAGAATTAATTAACATTGCAAAAAAAAGTTCTTACATCATATAATAAATACAATATTTTTTACAATTCATAGTATATTGTACATCAATCACGTTACTCCATTTTTAATCCTTTCTTAAATCTTTTTTCCCGCAAAAAATATATTTTTCATATTGTAATATATTAAGTCAAGATATCATGCACTAATGTCAAAATTTCAACGTACCTCTGTCATTAATCTTTTTAGACCCTCAACCTCATCTTCACCTGGATTAAGTTCACCACCTGGTAATTTGAAAAAGGTTGTTCCCAACTGAAGCAGTAGCACATGAGGTAAACCATGTTCATGGACCAACAAAACCCCCTCTACGCTCCTCCTCATTCCAATGCGTTCAAATTCATCTCTCATTCTCTGGAACCTAGCTGGAACACTGGGATCTTTCTCGAACAGTGGTTCCTTTGTTCCAAAAGTGTAATTTGTCAGAGGATAACTAAAGCAAGGCACATTTAAACATCATAATTAGAAGAAGCAATTTTTATTTTGAATTGAATGATTGTCAAAATTGTTAGACTTACAGGTTGATGATTCTATTTAGGGCTGCAGAGGAATATTTCTGTTCGAATGTTGATGTAGCCGTCACTGCTCTTGAGCCGGGATTTGAGTTTTGGCTGTTCCTCCTCGGCCAACCAGAACCTGTGCCGGCCATGTTGTTTTCCTTTACTTGCGAAGAACTCATAGACATCATGAAATCACTAAAATAACTCTTTTGCGAAGAACGATTTAATCTTATTTCAACAACAAATGTGTCTTGCACACTTGTCGATAAACTTTAGACTTAATTTAACAAACTTCCTGTCTTTGAAAAACACTTTACATCATACCACAAACAATTCGCAATGTAACTGTTTCCCCAACTAAAGCTTATTTTTTATGGTTATGAACACAATATAAAATGCGCTTTTACAGATGGCGCTATTCATTGCCACCTCTAGAGAATTAAATTATTATTATTTCAAAAACGAGTTTCAACTAGCAGTCCTCTTTCAAGAGGGTAGCAGCTTTAAGCTGCTCTTATGCAATAAAAAAACATACATTTACATTAAAAGCATTTTGCAACAGTTTGTGCTTTATTTTTTATTTTGTGAAAATATTTGTTTATAGATCTATGGTCAATAGCCCTTGAATAGCAGTTGATTTTTTTTAGTTATTGTATTAAGTTTTTTTTTTGTAATTTATTGCAATAAATATTTTTATTTGTTTATAAATATATTTGTAAGAGAAAACATTTAGCTTGATTCGAATCCCATGGGTTTTCCTCTTTCTATAGATATATAAGGTTCAGTGTGGTGGCGTGCCTTCACAAATCTTGAAATCGAGTTGCGCCTCCAAACGAATTGCTGATGAACCTTAAACTAACATAATCTCAATATGATTTTGTTTTGTTAATTGTACCGATTATGTTAGTATAAGGTTCCTCGGCAATTCATTGGAGGCGTCACTCGATTTCAAGATTTGTGAAGGCATGCCACCACACAGTGTCTTTGGTCTCTTGCATATAATTTTGTATTTCTATCCAGAAATACCAACCTGATTTTATTTAAATATTTAAAAAAAAAATTCCAGTAATTAGCAGCAGTAATTGGCAGTAATTAACTTTATTAGAGTTAGAGTAGTATAACAATAAAACAGTGATTGGAAGGCGTGTAAGAAAAAAGATATTTTTTTATTCTTAAAATTAAAAAAATATTGCACTTAATCGTACTATTTATTGTATTCATTATAAAAAATAACATATTTATTGATTATAAGAAATTTTGTATTTCTGTAATGATTGTTGTATTTAAAATTAATACGAATTAAATGAAGTTAAAAAAAGTAAGAAGGCAGCCTAAAAAGAGGCTTCTGAAGCTCCAAATGTTGAGAAGATCTGTGTACAGATATAATATTTGAAACATTCTTTTATATATGTTGTATTTTAGTTGATGTGTCCTCTGACAAATATGGAAATTTGATGACTGCAATTTGTTTCGTGATACATTGAGTGGTATAGGGTATAGCGGTATAGAATTTTTGTTTATTTATTATTATCTTGAATGCACTTTAATGATAAATAATTCACACTTTAATGATAATTATTTTTCACATTCTCAGTCATAAAAAGATTTTCTTCCCTAAATCTTGCCGTACATGATAAATCTAAAACATATCTTCTATTTCCTGATCTACTTCTGTAGTGAAACAGTTTTTTCCTATTGAATTTCATATCCTCATATTCCTCCATGCGTTTTTTGTTCACAGTCATCGTCGAACGTATCACATTCCAAAGGATGAGATAACTTCATGTGGACAACTTTTTTAAGTTCTAGTACATCTTCTTTTTCAGTTTCATTCGTGTCAATGTTTTTGTAAGGATTTACTTTTTATGTACATACAGTTTTTATATTTGCTTAAATAAATAGTCAAGTTAAGATGTATCTCCATGCTAGAGACATACGATCCAAGGACCCAGCGACTCTATACAAGACTCGTCAGGGGTGATTTAACTGAAAGGATAGTTGTTTTTTTATTTAACCCTTTGAGTACTAGAGGTTACCAGTATTCTCTTTTTAATTTTGTTGTTATTTATTATATGATATTATTTATTAATAAACATATATATAATGATACTTATAATCGTAACTTCTTCTGTTGGACAAGATTTGATAAACATATTTATAATATCAATGACAGGAAGGAATGAGCCAAGTAAAAGAGTGTTGAACTTTTATTGGGTTTCAGGTCAATAGCCATTTCATTAATATAAATAATAACAACAATGACCAAATAATAATAACTATAAAAAAAATAAATAAATTCTAACACCAATTAAGAAAAAAAGCCAAAGGCCTATCGACCGTGGTCTTTCTGCCCGGGGAACATAAATTTAATAATAAGAATAGAGTGAAAAAAAAAGCAGCATTGTTAGAACTAGGAGGGCCTTAATCAAGGGACATTGGGTATTGGAAAAGGGTTAATGTGGGATATTTAAATTTGGGATGGATATTTGGATTTTGGCACAGAATTTAGAGAGGGAGGCGATATTGGATTTTGTTGGATATCGGTTAAGGAGAGGGACCATTTTGGTTTTGGAATAGAGGAGATCATTAGGATCATTTTTTATTTTATTATTGTATGAATATGTTTTAATTTCTATTTTTTAAATATGTGACTGTTATAAAGACAAACAAAAATATAGAAGTACAATAAAGAAAGGAACCTAAAAATATTATTCTGTTCCAAAATTATACGAAATCATTCAGTTTGTGACATTGTTACTTCATTTTTTTAAAGGTTAACAATGATTATTGGCAAAGATAAAATTAACTTAATTTATTTACAAATAAAATTATAACTAACAAAAATCAGTTTTAAATGACTAGATTGAAATTTAAAAAAAAACATGTATTCATCTGCAAAAATCATAATTGGTGTTAAAACAATAATTTTCTTCGTAATTGTTGAATGGTTGAAAATGATTGTTATATAGGAAGTTCGATGGATTTCTCCAATCACCACATTCGTCCATCATTTTTCCATTGCCATACTCTGGACAGTTATAATTTCCTTGCAAATTGTTGTAATTTACTAAATAAGTCACATTTTGATCATTGCCATTATAACAGTCATATTTCATTTTATTATGAATGGCACCTAAAAGAAGATTGGAAGTGGTCTGGCTTAATTCTTTACTCAGGATCTTTGTGAATCTGATGATATCCATCGGCTTCCCTTCGCGTAAAGTTTCGGACATTGCAATTATGTAATTTCGGGCCAACCTCAGCGTTTCGATTTTCGATAGTTTTTGTGGAACCGAGTGCATGTCGGAGTGCGTTTGTTGTATGGGCATTCTGCTGTGGTTACACTTAAATTAATTTCAATTAAATAATTAAAAATAATAATTAGCTGGCTACCTTCTGAGTTTATCCAAGGCGGCATTTAAGCCATGCATTCGATTTCTTTCGCGTGCGTTCGCTTTCGATCTGCGCATTTTAACTTTGAATACTTTGGTCTTTGATTGGTCCCTTCTGATCGGATGCTTGTCCATTTCGCATGAAGAACTTCGTCTATGATTTCCATGTACGAGGAAGCCCTTTATATAAAGTTGGTTATCGGGTTGCGCTGTTTGTTTTCCGATTTTCCACTTATAACATATACAAATACATTGTTGTAAATGAGAGATAAAAGGGCATTATTTACATATCTCACCATATGTCATTATTGAGCATATGGTGCATGGGAAATTGGTTTAGGCTAGTGTTATTCGTAATAATAATGAAAATTCAGTTCGCAAACAGATATGGTGGCACGCGTCCGGATAATTGGAAGGACGGACGGATTGGAGGGATCGCGCTTTTTATTATCCCATCGATTTTACAGCTTTCCTTTCCAGTTGCCATGGTTTCTATCGAAATGTTATTTAGTTTCATGAGACAGCCAAAAAGAAGAACGTCACTTGCTTTATTCTAAATTACAAAAGACGATGTCTATAATAGTTTTAACACATCACAATGAGTGCATTTATGATATAACAAAGAGCTTCGATCAGAGTTTCCCGAAGAAGACCAAAAAGCTCGAAGATAAAACTGGTAGGTGCGATTATAAATTTAGCAGGGAAAGAAAGAGATGGTTATTGAAGAACGGTAAGCCGCACGGCACGATGGGTCTACCTAAGCAGCCGCCAAGGAATCCTCACGACTTCCTGAAGAAAAATACTGGAAAACCGCCGATGCTACCGCCGGAAATAGCAGATCCTGATCATGGTAAGAAACCTCAAATGCAGCGAAGATTACCTCCCGTTCCGTTAAGGGAGGAAACTTTGAAAGAAACCGCTGAGAAGTTGAAGCACGAGAAGAAGAACCATTTACAGAAAAATATTAAGAACGCCACGACCATGGCGCCTAAATTGCCTGCTAGGAGAGTCAATATTACTATAACAGGAGACAGCAGAGATTTGTCTGCAGGTCTGGAACCCCAGCACCTAACTTCCAAAGTATATGGAAAAATACCTCCATATTTGGATCAACTCATTAAAGTCAAAGAAAAGGCCATTCAAAGGGAGAAAGATCGATACACCAAACGGCCAAAGTGTGCTTACATAACACGCGAAGAACGTGAAAACTTATTGGCCGTAATGTATATGTTATTTGTTTATTAATCATAGTTTAAAATTTGTTTTCTTTTTCTTCATTTCCCGTGCAGGGTTTGAAACAAAATTGGGAGGAGCTTCAAAGGATTTATCAAGGATTACCGATTCTCACGGATACAATTCCAAAGAAACAACGCAAATCACGAATCGAATCCGACTTGAAGCAATTAGAGAAAGACATCGTCCTCATCGAGCGACATCCTTACATATACGTTTACGATGATAAGAACGATTTATAATATTAATTATGTATAGACTATATACTATGTTTTATATTTATATCTAAACCTTTTAACGAAAATATGATTAATAAATTGATTGTTTCTAATACATTCAAATTTATGAAAACTAATTCCTACATAATCATGAAAAAAAAAACCCAAATCTCCTAAGATAAGCATTTCCTTATATATATTGTTAATATAAATAGTTGAATAGTAAATTGATTCAACTTCGTAGCTTGGATACTAAAAACTGATATTCGAAAATAAAAGGGTTAAAAGGGTCTATATCTCAAGCCCGACAACCGAAATCCCGACTATATCGAAAATATCTTCAATAACATTTTTAAAAGAATTCTGAGCGTAGTCACCTTGTGCTACATTTTTATTATTATTAACAATAAATTATTATTAATTTATTTGATTTTGTTGAATTATTCATAATAACCCTTAACATTATGAAATAATCTCAAATACAATTAGATTATTAATGGTTGTTATTTATTATTAATAACAATTTAAAAGTGACTACGCTTCAGAATAATTTAAAAATGTTATTGAAGACATTTTCGATATAGTCGGGATTATGGTTGTCGAGATTCTGATACAGTCGGGATTACGGTTGTCGAAATTTTGATATAGTCGGGAATTTGATTGACTGAAATACCTGTTGTCGGGCTTGCGATTGCCACCGGGTTAAAATTGTGAGTAAATTTAATTTGAATTGAGTAAACTAGCAGTACAGAAGAGAATTTTCACTGAAAAGTTGTAAAACTTCAACATTGTAATTAATATCTTTGTGAATTTATTTTCCTCATATATTGTTTATATACTTTTTATGGTTTGCTAGAGAATGTTTTATGTCAGTTGAAATCACAGATTATAGTTTATTACCGCCAGATTTTAAATATTATTTGAAGATGGTAATTGCCTCTGATGGTAATGTGTTGAATATTTCATAACCTTAAAATTATTTGTAAAAGTGAAGTTGTAGAAGAATTGTAATAATTATGGGTTACGATTATAAATTAGTGAATTCCGTTGATGTGAAAGTGAAATTAATATCAAATTTATGTTGTGAAGTATCAGATGATGATTATGTTAGCATATTGACTGATCGGGGTGTCTTCATTTTCAAGTTACTTGCATACAAACATAATAATCTGCCAATATTTTCATACAGCCAAACAACAATCCCATTATCCACATATGTTTTATCCAAGAATATTGGACTGACAATAGAGCATTTAGTTCCAAATTTAGATAAATTTGATTTGTTTGAAAGTGTATTACGAAGTGATATATCAGTGTGCATAGATAACTGTACAAAGCCTTCTTCAAATGTTATTGCAAGCAAGTGGAGTTATGCTGATGCTATTGGCAACCAGTCTGTTATAGCCACACTGAATGAGACAGGTTCTCTAGATTTGTACACAAGAATAGTCAAATGTAACACAAATGAAGTTTATTATCATTTGCAGAATGTTACATCTATACATATAGACATTTTTAAAAAAGATTGGTCAACAGACATTAATGAAAATAATGCTAAACATGTTTTGGAGGATATGAAATTTAGATTGGATTTACACACACCCACAGGTACTTAAAATTAAACTACTTTATATTATTTATTTATACTTGATTTGTTTCAGCATTTATTTGGTCACATTCATTTAATGTGAATGCAACGAAATTCTGTAATTTAATTGTTGCTCAAAGAAATGGAACAATCATATTTTGGAAATTTATGCATCTATCAATTGAAAGCTATAAATTAGCAAAAGTTAATTTTATGCATCAGCATGACACACATTTAAGAGATATTTCTGCAATGCATTGGATAGATTCTATAGACAATAGTGGTTGGTTATTTAATATTGAAAGTGATATATGTGTACTTAATATTTCATTCTAGGTTTCTTAGTTATTGGAAGCATATCAGGAAATGTTATGGTATACCCAGTATTTCAAGTATCTGAAACAACTGTTAAAGTATCAAATGGTATTACATTAAATAGTGCAGATAATATTAAAGTTGACCACATATTTTCATCGGTTCAAGAAAATGCACTTTTTATTTATGTTATAAAACAAGAAGTTATGGTCATTTATTACCTGAAAGATGGTAGTTTGAAAGATAGTTGTTTCTATTATATTGGGAATTTATCAGTTAATGGTATGTATTTTTTTGTGTAATTTTCAAATGTGTAAGTACTTAAAATGTATTTGTAGGTATTCAAAAACAATTGGACAATTCTATTTTAATTTGTTCACAAACTGGAACTTTTAAAGAAATTATTATTGGTGCATGTGAAGATGATAAGATTATTGTCCATTGGAGACACATATACATAAATATCAATTGGAGCAATAAGAAACCTGTCGGTTTTTTTTCTTCGAGAAATAATACAATTATGACTCTGATAACAGACTATTGCAAATTGAATAATTTCAAAGAACAAAAGGACAAAGTTAATTTCTATTATTATCTCAATAAAGGCGTAAACGCCGTGGATTTATTATTTAATAATAAAACGAACAGTTTAAAGAATTATCACGATTGCCTAGAGGCCGTGAGGTAAGTTAGAGATAATTTATAATATTATTGTAATTAATTTTGATTTATAATTTTAGAGTGGACAATTTGATTAGCAAGGATCTGATTTTCAACAAAATTCCATTTGAATTGAACTACGATAACTTGAGTCTATTGCAATTGAAGACTTTTCTGTACATTTCCAAAACGGATGACTACATCTACCAACAATTGGATAATGTCCCATCAGATAACATGAAGGATTCAAATGATATTTTTACCATGATACAGATCAAGTTAGCCATCTATTTTATTCAATTAATCCTTCGTCAGATCGATTCCGATAAGAAGATTTCAGAATTTAAACTGCAGAGCATGCATATACTGTATTCATACCTTAAGGAAATTGTAATTAGCGATAATATACCTAAACTGGATTTAGGTCCCAATGTTATTGATGAGGTACTGGATATAGTATCTAGATGCGAGAACATTTCTATGCAAAATTCGGTAGTTTGTCTCATATGTGGAGAAGATATTCTAGGGAGTTTTTGCGTGAAGACTCATTTTGATAATAGGTGTTTGATTTCCATGATGCAGATTGCCATACCCAAGTATATGTGTCCGTGTTGCAAACATTATGTTGCAGAAGAGGCAATAATAGAGTTCCAAGTAAGCTTATGTCCGCTGTGTGACCACCAACTCGATGTGATCATGTCGGACAATAAGCAAAAATCAGTTTTAAGCCCATTTGAACGTAAATGAATATGTTTAATATTATATAATTCTGCTGTGATATGATTGTAATACATACAATTTGAAACTAGATGGTTTCAATTCAATTCGACAGTCAATTCTGTTTACTGTTTAATTATTTTTTGAAAATACAACTATGCCAATTTCATAATATTAAGTAATAATTTTCTTTGATTAACATGATTACCCTTTTGTATGGTAAATAAAATATCTTTTCTATATCTATATTCATCATCATTTTCGTTACAATTTGTTTTGCTCGTTTGCGAATTACTCGTTATGCGAGTTGCTCATTAAACGAGGTTCCTTGGTAAATTAAATGATTTTTGTTGCAGGTATCAATAGTAATTTAATGTCTTTATCAGTTTCAATAAAAATCATGGATATAACTTGAAACTAGCATTTATATTCAGAACTGAAAAGTTCAACACATCAATATCTCGCATAGTGCGGATTTTATTTATACAGTCAAGTTTGATTTGAGCTGGTTATTTTTGATTTAGTGAAATTAATAAGAGGTAGGCCTCTTTGACCACATATATTTATATAATGATCGAGATTCTAACTGTTTTATTTGAGCATAAAGCGACCAAAAAATTCGTTACTTAATATTTTTTATATTTTTCGACTAATACTGAAACTTTTAGAACGAATTAACCGCGTGTGTCAAGGACTTACTATATTTAGAATGTATGTTCATTTATTATGAATTCAGTTATACTTTTTGTTTACATTTTTATTTTTTTATATTATAATTAAATATTTTTATTGCTATATTTGATTTTTAAATAATAAAGTTTCAATTAACTATTGAGCGATATAAATAAATTGAAGATAAACATATTTACTAATTTAAAATATAAATGGATGAAATTTTAAAATCATGTAGACTTTAATATATTATTTATTTCATTCTATACAGCATATGGATTACAAGATTTGTATCATTATATTTCTACTACATAGGTATAAAGAAAACAATATATTTATAAAGGTATGAGTTGTCTTGTCTACTGGTGTCATCAATATGATGTTGGAAGGAAACTAAGCTTCTTACATTGTACAAACAGCGTCTTGTAAATGCATTATTATTATTGTATACGTACTTTAAATACATTACAAGTGATAAGTATTTTTGTTATTTGCATTGTTAAAATGTACAAATCAAAAAGAGACATAAACATGTAAATGGCACATTAATTTGAATATATGCTACATACACTAGAAGTTAAGTACATTAAAAGCATATTGCGGCGAAGTATTTACGCGTGTTATCTAAATCAATATACAAAGAACGTTATTTAACTGCTTATCACAAATATTACATACTAAGATATTGCAAAATTTTTGTTATCAATTGTGTAACGGAAATCAAAGCATTAATTCATCGCTATTTTCCGTGATGCGTTTTATTGCTTTCTTCAAACGATGCAGTTCGCGTTCTAACTTTTTAACGGTTTCTTCCAACGCTGCGATTCTTTTCTTCAAACCCGTATCCTTTTTCTCAGGCTCAGGTATAATATCCATGGTTGCATTATTGTATGGAACGACCGTCTCCCTTCGACTGCGAGCATTCAATCTGCTGATGGTGTTCAATTGTCCGGAATATCGGCAATCACTGCAACATTCCGACCAGAAGCTCATATCCACTTTCGGTATTTCCAAGCATTTCTTATATCCACCCTGCGTCTCGGGTAAATAAAAAGCATTGTCCGTAATGTCGGTAATATTATCACCGTTATCGCATAGAACACGAGACAAAGTGTACTGCTTTATTTGCACCAATTGTTCGGGTTTGAATGTGGATGGATTCTCATACCAAAACCGGTCCCCATTTCGCAGCCTACCGAATTGCTCCACAAGCAGACATCTGAACAGCGGACCGATTTTACCACCCTCGACTTGATCTTCTAGTATACCCCCCACCCAGATATCGATATTTCCCGGATGGCCGTATAATTCTTTCAATTTCCGTCTTACTTCCGGATCGGAAATTTCGTTCCTTAAATCCTCGAAATCATCGACATCAGCCATGTTGCAGAATTTTCTGAACTCGATGTAGCCAGGGATGGCGTGATCACGAGATCTATGAATATTAATTGCAGCTAAATCAAGAGCCACTGCATGTGCCGATTGGAACAAGCGTTCAGTCAATTCTTTATTCAAATTTTGATTAGGTTTCTTAAGTTTAGCCGCGATTGCGTACAAACCTCTTATCAAAGGATCAATACCACCTTCGTCAAGAACTCTCCATGGCGCGAAGAACGCTTTGTGTAACATCAGATTTCCTTCTGGTATTGGTTGGAAGGTTGAGTTCAATCTGTGCAGGATGGGGTTAATTAAACTATGGCCAAATCGAAGTGCAGCCGTTGCAAAAACGTTGGCGATTCCTGGATTTATCTGCGGATTATATCCTTTGTATTCACCTAGCATTCGCATTCCCTCATTGCCAACAATAATTGGTAGCCAGTTTGTGTAAGTAATGTGTTGCATGGCAGCGCCAACAATTTTACGCGCCTCTTGATAAATCATATCACCTTCCCAATGTGGGTTAAGCAATCTTAATTCACGAGCTAATCTGTTGTGCTCTCTGAACCAAATCGTATGCATCGCAATCAATCCGACTTGTTCGTTAGCTCTGATATCGCCTGCCAAGAAACAATTAACATTACTTTCAGTTTCATCTCTTCTGCAATCCATTTGACCTCCGTGGTAAGGCAGCATTGGTTTCCGGCCTGGATATATAACGCCTTCTCGTAACTTTCCTAAATCGCTATTTAAGTCTCTTAATTCTTTCGCCAAGTCATTAGAGTATCCGTAGACTTGAGACGCGTCTATGTACGATGTCAACTGATTGATTTGTTCACGGTGTTGAATTGTATCAAAGAAAACGGAAGTAATTCCGGAACCGCAGATGGCCGAAGATCTGAAGAAATCTATGCATCTCCTATTATGTACTCTGGGATCATTTGGAGGAACATCAATTGGGAAGCAAGGCGCGGAGTAGTCGCAAGATCTCTTGCAATCTGTTCCATTCCAACTTTCCGAACTCACCGAGGGAATAGCATGATCCAAATCGTGATCCAAAAATTGTCCCCATTGCATCACCATGTGCGTTATTTTGTCATCCGGTGTAATTTCATTGGTCGAAATTAATGATGTTGAGACCAATCTCGAGCTAGGCTTCTTGAAACCGTAGTATTTCATGTCCTTATTCCACCCGATCGGTGTACTAAAACCGTTTTCATATATCGGTTTTAAAATTCTTCGGAATCCAGTGAGAGATGCTCCCCAGGTTGGGTTCTGTAAATTGTTGCAAGTGCCGTCTATGCTTCGATATTTTGAGTGGTAGCACATATCCGTGCAGTTCGTGCGCCGACGATGAGTCATGCACCCAGATAGCTGTGCAACTAGATCCAAATGCTCGGGAGATAGCACCTCTTTATAATTGAAATCGGAAGTGTAATTCATTTGCATACCAATTTCCACATGTTTCTTGATATTCACCAAAGTGCGTTCGTACACTTCAGCCGCTCTCGCGAGCTCTCGGGCCGGAGCATTCGGATACCTGATAATCCTAAATAAATCACCGAAGTTATGGTGCTTCTTGTAAAAGATATCGTGAACGGTTTTGTTAATTGCTTTATCAACTTCTTGACTTGCTTCTAGGAAGGCCACTTTTACGAATTTATCACCGGCTCCTGCTAAATTCAGGTTGTGCGGATCCTCCTTAACGCTAACGTAACCAGAAGCGGTGGCACTGCCATATTCATTAATAGCCGTGCATTCATACCTACCCTGATCTTCGCTTGCTACCGAGTAAATGTACAAATTGCCGCTTAAGGAAATCCTCCAGCGACCAGTTCTTTGAAGCGTGCTTCCATCCTTTTTCCAATCGATCCCAGGCGTTGGATTTCCAGCTCCCTTGCAAGGAATTTCAATTGTAGAACCGACCAAAGCTTCAATATTGTATGGTTTATAAATTAAATTTGGTGCCTTCAAATCGGCAGATTTAATAGAAAGGTGCACATCGGCTGATCGCTTTCCCATTTCATTTTTAGCTCTGCATGTATACATTATGCCATCAGATTCTTTAACATCCCGGATTTCCAAAATGCGGTTCTCATCTCTCAAGGTATGTCTTCCTTGACTTTTGATTTTTGTATTCTTCATGTACCAACTAATTTCCGGCATTGGTGTACCTACCGCATCACACTCAAAACGCGCTGTCTTTCCTATCTCCACGGTTATTGGCTGTGGAATCAGAGTAAATTCAGGCGGAACTAAAAATTAAGTATAATACATCAATTAAAGTTTAAATAACTTATGTAATAAATATTAACCATTGATAATTATTTCCGCGGTCGTGCTGATTCTTCCGTGGATGTTAGCAGCGTCGCATCTGTAAGTTCCGTAATCGTTGTTTTTAACAGATCTTATTACCAAAGTTCCATCCAAAAACTGGAAATTCCTATTGTTTATGTCAAGTTTAATGCCATTTCTAGACCAAGTAATTTCCGGCTTTGGATTGCCGATCGCTTGACAATGCAGCACAGCCTCGGACGATCTCTCATTTACAGTTATGCTTTGAGGTGTTTCAATGAAGACTGGCATACCTGGAACTAACATTCAAATACGTTAGATCTGTAAGTTAAAAACTATACTATTGAATAATTACTTCTTTCCGTCACATATTCCCGTTGAACAACCATGCGCGCAGCTCTAGATTTAGTTACACCATCAGGATTTTTAGCAATGCACTCGTAGAATCCAGAATCGCTCTCTTGTGCATTCTTTATTTTCAGCGTTCCGTTATAAGTAACCTCAAATCGGTTATCACCAGTAATCAATTCTTTGTCGTTTTTCATCCAAGATATTGAAGGCATCGGGTCACCTGCTACGTAACATTGGAACAAAGCAGTCTGTCCGAAAGTTATGTCGATATCTTGAGGCCCTCCAGTTATTTCAGGATATTCTAAAATTATTTGTACGCTTTAATATCTGAAAATTACGTTTTTTTTTTTAAATTTACTGCAATGGAAATCCTTATCGTCCATTCCTTTCAGAGCTTTCCCCTTCATTTCTCTTGGGTATTCGCAGTTAGCCGCCGCTTGCAACGAATTATGATTCAACATTTTCGCAAGCCATGCCATCTGACAATCGCAGACCAGAGCGTTTGAATCTAATCTCAAGCGATGAAGTTTGGGTAAATTTTGGAATGCGCCTCGAGGTATGTGCTTTAGCTTATTGTTGTATAGAAATCTGAAAGTAATGTGTTTCTTTTTGTTAATTTTATTTTGATAAGGAGATAATGTACGTGTCTGCAGAATGCATTGCCTATATATATATACGTAGCGTTAATGGGGTTTTAAGATAAGTTTATTTCATTTGAATCAAGTCACGAAGTTCCTCAATCACGAGTCTCGCCGCTAAAATAACATTTTATAAGACTTACAGCCTGTCCAGAGATGGCAGATTTGAAAAAGTGCCGGCCTTGAATTCCTCCAAATCGTTGTTATGTAAATAGCTAAAAATATATGACATAATCTCCTCTCTGCTCGACGCTTTTTTTTAATGGTTCACTTACAGATGCTCGAGCCTCGGCAATTTTTGGAAAACATCTGGCTCGATGTATTTAATGCGGTTCTTGTACAGGTATAGATCTTTGAGTTGCGGCATACCGGTGAAGACACCATTCTTCAGCGTCGTGATTTCGTTGTTGTTCAGCAAAAGCGTTCTAATGTTCTTGTGATTCTTGAATGTATGCGGCTCCAGAGTGTGAATCCTGTTGAACCGCAGATCTCTGCAAATGCAAACAGAAAATAAGTAAAATATGATGTGAACGGTTTAATTAACAAATGGGACTCGAGTGCTTTTGCACTCCTCTAATTATATATTATTACTTGGGCAAGTAATTTGCGGTTTCGGATAATGGAATGGTTTCGACTCTTTTAATAACTTTGCATTAACTCCAGACGTTCAGCAGATAAATACCATTATTTTATTGCGGACGCATTCGAGTGTCCGTTCGTAATGTATACAATTTTTGTTAACAAATACAAATTACAAAGCCAGGACACTTTCAAAACAAGCTTTCTCTCTCGCCAACGACGAATATTAGTTTCATATTTGAATATTCGCAAATGGATTATTTATTCATTTTATCTCAATCATTCATTCGTGCATTGAATACATTAAATGTCACAGCACACATACGCATATAACAATGCCAGTGGATCTCTTACTAAATGCAGTTCACTATATTTAAAATGCGGAAGGTAACTGGAACGGCGCGAACTTTTCTCGGTACTATTTATAGATGATAAGAAAGAGTACAAGAAATCCGCTTACGTTGAAATGTTTATTACTTTGCAAATTTATGTTGTGTGAAGGAATATGGTAATTGCACTTTCTGGGATATGCACATGTACGTATTTATCTACATATACACACACGTACAGAGTGTCCTACCATTAAATCTTTTGCAAATTGACCGTAAATTCCAGTGCCATTCCACTTTCAATAATTTACAATGCAATAATAATCGTATTTCAATTCGACAGTTTACCGTTATCATTTTCACTTAGATAAGAAATATCTTTCATGCACTAACATTCGTGCAATAGTTCGTCAAATAAATGCGAAAATTAAAAAAAATATATATGTAATAGCTAAATTACCTAACAGTAAATGTATATAGTACAGTCTCTTTAATGAGTGACTCACTATCATTTGAAGGCTTCTATATATAGATTTAAGTAGAGTCTACGGGAAGCAAATTGTAAAGCATTAATAACCTGTATATATCAGATATTGATCATTAATTAAATACGCTTGGTTTCTCTAAGTAAACATCTGTAGTGTAAATCTGACGTATTTTCTTATTACACGATATAAAGCAAATCAATTATTACAACTAGAATCAAGTATCTGCACTTAACTCAATTCTACCTTGTCGTTTCTGATGAGGATCGTAAGTTTTCTTAACGTATTGAAATCGCAAATATTGAAACTTTTCTTTAAAAAAATTGTATTATACTAACATATGTATACTCTGTAGTATAATAATTAATATTATTAATTATTATACGTAAACAATGGCATTTTCCATTAGTAGAGAAATTATTTGAAATTAAATTGTAAAGGTAAATCTCGCGATTTAGAAAGCTATAGTCATTGCGTGTTGCATTGTTATCATAGATTGATTGCTACACTGTTTGTTTGGCATTCAAGTCCGTCTTGGATTATTATCTCTAAGATCGTAGTGTATTCCATTGTAGGTAATAGAGACGATATTTCTTTTATCATACCATATACATCTTGTCTGATGCAACACTTGATCCTTGGAAAGTTGTTGAATATAAATAAAGTTATCAAAACTATCTTAGTTTACAATTAATTTACAAAGCTTTAGAGTTTTAAATTATTATCTTAAATAATCATTACGGTAATATTTCTACCACTGATATTTATCTAAATCCACAAATTCAATGATTTTTTTTATTTTGATGAGATTCGAATCCGTTACATTCGTATAGGTTTTTGAATTATAAAATACAAATATTTTATAAGTCATATATCATATTATATAAGTCATAAAGATGTTACATTATTTATGCGTGTTACAGCGAGAGTTATAGCTTTGTATGAAATGTTAATTTTAATACAACTATTAAATTAATATTCTGGTACTATGAAATGTTTGATTGATTAAAGCATATTTAGAATATAGATAATAAACATTGTGTTAAAATGTTTTACAGTGTAATTTCTATTCATTAAAACTAAAATATTACAGTAAACCTACTAATTAGTAATCTAATCCGTTAGCTAGTTATGTATTCCTAGTATTCGCGTTTGTACAGACTCATAAATTCAATAATATATATGATTTTATAATATGAATTCTAACAAAATTAAATATGGATTATTCGAAAATATATTGAATATTTACTTCAAATTATTTAGAAACGGCATTTAAATAAAGTTTTCAAAATATATAATAATTATTTGATACTTAAGTTTATCAATATTTGGATTTACAAAAACTTTTCTCCAATTATTTTTACCATACTCGAATTTAAGAAAATTCTTCGAATTTATTTTCTGCATATAAAATAGTTTCTCATCAGAATTATAAATATTAATTTATGAAAGTCGAGATGAAAAAATAATTCATAAAATATTGGCTAATAAATATATTTACTTAAAACTAATTAATTCCGGATGTTTGTTTGCTTTTACTTTAATTAATTCAGCTAATTATTATAAATTTATTTTATTAATGCTTTTAGCAATCATGTTTTTTTATGATTAATTCAATGTATATTTTTTTGATCAATGTTATTCTTGGCTCCAATTTAATTCACATCCATTAAATGTAAATTAGTTTTGAATTTTTAAATGGAACAGATGTTACTTACATTTTGAACGACAAAATAAGTATAAGAAAATTTAATTATTATTATGTATGTGAATATTAGAAATGTGTATCGCGTTTCTCTATATTAGAATTAGATGATGTATTTTCTAAAATACATATATTATTTTGAATTGAATGAATGCAGCATGTGCTATAAACGTGCACTACTAAAAACTGAGAAAGACGAGCGGATTTGGCACATTCACATAGAAATAGCAGAGAAATGTGTCAGGTTGAAAATGAACGTTCTACAATACTTAATGTTCATTTTTTTTTGTTATACTGTTATTCAAATTTTACAGGGCTCATTTGACTATGTATTCAATTATATCATTTATAATAATTGAAATCCTATTATTTATACAACGCGTTCACATACATATCATAAATTATATATTAAACAAAGTGAGTATCTAATTATTTAGAAGGTTCAAAAGAATATTATTCATAATAAACCACTTATTGCTGTTCTAAGTGTATTCTATATTAAGAACCTAATGAAACAAGGATATTTCTTGAAAGCTTAGCGATTGGCTCATTTTGTTTTTCAAAGAAACACTGTCCATTCAGCAGTACTAATCCGTTAATGAACCATGTTTATACAAAATAAAAGTCAGTTACGAAACAACCCGTGAATTTAATCCCTCTTAGACATGTTATTTTCTTAGCTGGGTAAACTTCAAAGTGACAAGATAAGTAGAGAATTACTTAAATGCAAAAACGGAGAATAAGGTAAAACTCTAACTTTCGATCGAGTTTCATAGCTAAGTAAATTATCCAGATTTAGCATATTTACGATTCTACATGTTATTTTTATTATCGAAGAACACATGTATATCGTGTTAATATTTAGATGCTGTTGTAAAATGCGACGTTAATGTGCAGTTTCGTGTTTTTGCAAATTTCGTGAATAATTATTTACGTTTTACGTATCAATTTCTAAGAAAATCGCATGAAAATCTGAATACAATCCGCAATGAAACGTAAACCTGTAATAATAAATAATAAGCTTTTGAAGATTTCCAGATAATTGGACATGTTATACGAATGTTTAGCCTTCGGTGAAGCGCATTTGAAAAGTGAAAAGAAAACTGTTTAGAATCAATTTCGAATGGCTATCACCGGGCATAATGAGAACGTGGCACGAAAGTAACAACGGTTTATTATTCAAATTTAGTGTCTACCATTATTACCACTATTTATTAAGAATTAAAAGAGATGTAGCAACTGCGGCAATAATTTACGAAGTTGAGTTTCTTCTCTCGTTTCCTCCTATACTATCTTGTTTGCCACGCTCGACTGTTTCCAACAATTTTCTTAATAATTTTATTGTGCAAGAAATCTTCATCTTCTTCGTGGAAACAAAAATCTTATATTCCCGCAGGCCTATCACCTCCCGTGGACATGGAAGCTCGCTAATAAGAATTCAAGGAGTGGATCCATTAAATGCGCCGGGAAAGATAACTCGTTTGCGCCTGAACCAAGTGGGTATGTTTTGCATATTTTCGGATTATCTAACTTATGTACGGCTCGATGCTTTTAATTCAACCTTGGAATTGCGCCAATTTCTTAAACTAAACAATGCGTACACACACACAATAGAACTATTTATAAGCGATCATTATATCGAATGCACTTTTAGCCCGGGAGTTACGCTCTTTCGCCTATGACGGGATTTTATTACTAGTACAGTGGAACTTCGCTTAACGAGCAAAATGAATTGTAAGAAAAATGACTCGCATAACGAGTGACGATGATATGACAAGTCCCGGACTGTGCCGCTGCTACATCATTTTTAAAACATGTGTACACATATTATGTATACTTTTGAATATGTTTCACTATACGAGTAAAAATCCGGATTTTTTAAACGGATTAAACTAGTTAAGCGAGATTTCACTGTATATCTATCATTTAGTCCTGTGAATGTACTTAACGTTAATTATAACTTCTCTATTGAGTTTTACTAGTGTCATATGCATATGAAAATTGTAATTAAACAAATACTTGTATATTCCATACTAAATAATACGAAAAAAGAATAATTTTGTATACATAGTATTATAAAATTATAAATTACATACATGCTAGAACTAAAGTTTAGAAATAGAATATCTTCATTGACCTAAACGCTACGATTCTCAGTATTTGCAACGCACCCGAAATTTATTAACCACTTGACATACGGATAAAACATATTTTTGTAGCTACATTTTTACATCATTTTCATACAGTTCCTTTACTATTTACATATAGTTTTTTCATTAATAAATAACTGAAGAAATACTGAAAGCTACTTTCCTTGTTGCATATCTATTTGTTTTTTTAATTATTATTCTAAAAAGTCATCAAAAAAGTAGGATTTGACGTTGATACTAGGG